GGGGGCAATCGTGAAATTTTAGGTTTCACTGAAAATTCAGTAAAATTCCAGAATTTTCAACAGCATAAAGACGAAAATTCCTCAATTTATGTGAATTTCCAGTCTAATATGAATATTCAGTGCCGAATTACATTGAATTTTCAGCGAAATCTGAAATTTAATTATTTTTTCCCCCTAAATCGCATTCAGTGTCACTGTCCTGGAAATTCCAGAATATATTTACCGGAATTTTATGGTTTTCTATTTATTTCATCTATCTAGGGAACAATGTAACTGAAATTTGCAGTTCTCTTAGATTTTTCCACGAAATTCTGAATTTTCAATGACTAAATTTCTTGAAACTTCGGTGATAATTATATTCGATCAAAATTTCTAGAAAGTGTACCGGAAATTTCAGACCGAAATTTTCAACAGTGATCTTTCAAATTCATCATTATGACGATTTGTGCTGGTGCGGCGCGGCGCTTACGGCGCGACCAACGGAGTGTTAATTAAATTTTTTCGTACATGGATTCTTTCAATGTTAAACAAGACTTTACAAGAAAATTGAGAATTCCTTCAACTCAAATGACATTCAGAAGTAAATCCAAAATAGAATCGATTCCACCAATTTAAAAATTCCACAAATCATTGTGATCACCTCTGCCTTAATCCCCCAAAAAACCCTGCGTTGGAGTATCATTAGCACCTCCAACAAAAAACGGGAAATAAACAAGTGGAAAACTTGGGAATGAGATCGTCGATGACGCATGGATTATAAAATTGTCTTCGGCACACTCCCAAAGCGTGCACCTCAAACTCAATAACCGCAGAAGTGTGTAAGGCAGTCCAGCCGTCTCAAAGTGCTAAACCAAGGTGGTTAACATATTCCCCGCGTCCCAACGCCGAGGATTCCCGATCCTCGGTCGCGGCCCACATCATACCTCCGGCACTTGACATCTCGTTTTTTCCGATGGCTGAGAATCATTCTAGCTTCCTTAATGGTCAAGTGCCTTTTAAGGAACCTCTTGGTCGCCAAGCTGTCCCCAAGGTCGTCCTATATCTGCACGCTCGATTGAGCTGACGATAAATTCCCCTGAATAATCCTTATTTTCATCCAAATTGAATGAGAATTCAATCTCATCCAGACGCACTGTTAGAAATTTTTTGAAATTTCGTGCAAGATATTACAGTAAATCTCACTCGTGGGAGTGAGATGGAAATTTCACAACTTGATTGAATTTTCAGTGAAACATGAATATTCAGAAACAAAATGACATGAATTTTCAATTTCTCCCTGAATTTTCCTGATTTTCATGAATTTTCACAGAACAATTGAACTGAAAAATCAAGTATTTTATTGTTTTCCAGATCATTTGAACAGAAAATCAATGGAGTATTTGATTTTTCAATGATCAGATTACCGGATATTTCAGTGGAACTTGAATACGATAATAATTTCCGGAATTTCGCATGGAAAATTCTGACGAAATTTTTTAACAGTGAATTAGGAAAAATCTGAAATAATCCAGAGTGATCTAAATCGTATACTTGAATAAGTCCCGTGAGATTTTGTTATGTTCAGTGTTACCTGTAATTATACACTCAAGCTCAAAGTTTGCATGTAAAAATTCGCTTTATATACGGTACACGACCCGGAGTTTCGGAATAAAAATTTGAAAATCCAACCACTTGTGATATTTTTGGCGGATATTTCCATTGATAGGGCTTCTAGACACTTCAAAATGAAATGTATCATAGCGCGACCAACGAACTGTTAAAAAACCTAACGTAAAGTGAAAAAATCTCGTGTTAAACATTTAAAGAGAGTCCGGAAATAGAAAATTTTTGCCGCAAAAATAGATTCAGTTTTAAAAAATTGGCATACTCTGTGCGAGCAAGAAATGTCATTTCTAACACTACCTATTCGTCAATCTATACTGGCGTGCGTATTTTGCTCCCGAAAAATGTACAATTTTATAATTCATGCGTCATCGACGATCTCATTCACAACTATTCCACTCGTTTATTCACCGTTTTTGTTGGGGGCGCTAATCATACTCCAACGCAGAGTTTTTTTGGGGATTAAGGAGGTATTCGGGATGATTTGTGGAATTTTTAGAGTGCAGGAAATAATTCTGTTTTGAATTTAATTCTGAATGTCAATGAAGATTGAAGTTAATGGACATTTCGACACTGAAAGAACGAAAACATGCTAGTCTTGCTTAAACCGAAAAACTTGTGATTTGAAAATTAGCAAGAATAAAAAATCTTGGGCTGAAATTTTAGAGAGTGAATGGAATTCGCTAGAAAATTCTGTGGAATTTCTATAGAAATTTTTAATGGAGATTATTTCATAGAAAAAATCAATAGAATTCGATTTTTCCATACAACTTATTCTATTCCGCCATTTTTATATAAATTTCTAGGCTCCAACTTTCTGAGTTTGTTGTTTGATTTTTGTAATAAAAAGAGAAGAAGAATGAAGTGGATAACATTTCGAAAATTCGTGTCAAGGCATTCCTGTAGAAAATGTCTCAATACAAAAAGTTGTATGGAAACATAATGATAACTTGAAAAACAATCGAGATGGAAACTTGAATGTTGGAAGGACTTTAGGTCTCATGATAATAGACTTTGGTATTTTGGTAGAAATTCAAAACGAGTCGCAATTTGCACACTTGGAAAAATTATTGTGTAACATCAGAAAAATTTTCTGGTGCCGCACGCGAATTTTTCTATTGCTACACAATAATTGTTCCAAATGGGCGGATTGTAACTCGTTTATGGTGGCACGTGAACTTATCTAGAAAATTTGCCTCCGTGTACTGGTCCAATTGGAATTTTTCTTTTCTCAAAATATTCGTCTTGTTTGAGAACATGTTTGTTTTCCTCTGAGTGCGGGGAAAAATGTCATAGGGCATTTTTGTCGGGAATTCTCCCTAGAATTGATGGTTCTGCAAGTGAGTGAGCACACTGTTAGAAAAAAGAGAACTTCCATGGACAGTTGACTACTGATTTTCAGGACAGTAACACTGAATGCGATTTCGGAAAAAAAATGATGAAATTTCAGGTTGCACTGAAAACTCCGTAAAATTCCAGAATTTTAAGCCGCATAAAGACGAGAATTCCTTAATTTATTTGAATTTCCAATCAAATATGAAAATTCAGCGCCAAATTACATGGGGTTTTCAGTGAAATCTGAAATTTCATGATTTTTTCGCCTAAATCGCATTCACTGTCACTCTCCCGAAAATTGCAGAATCTATTTACCGGAATTTTCTGGTTTTCTATTTATGTTCAGAGAAAAATTGAATTGAAATTTACAGTTCTCTTTGATTTTTCCACAAAATTCTAAATTTTCAACGACGAAATTGCTCGAACTTTCGCTGTTAATTATATTCGATAAAAATTTCCAAAAAATGCCGGAAATTTCAGACAAAAATTTTTAACAGTGCATTCAACAAAAGTGTTCATGCGTTGAAATTTACGATTGAACATTAGACGTTTCATTTTGCGAATCTTGTATTGAATCAATTCATGGAAGAATATTTTTATAATTGAAATATTTTTATTATAGGAACTCAGATGGGTCCGGAGCTCCAGGTAAATTGATTATTGAATATATTTGGTATGGAAAATGAAGATAGAAAGAATTTATGTTTTGATGAATAAAATGGTATTTTCGAATTACAGGATTTTGTCCTGCCCCACCGCCGCCACCGCCCCCACCCGGGGTTGGTCAGGTGCCAGCTATGAGGATTAACACTGTTGAGGTAAGATTTCAAAATTCTCATATTCCCAGTTTGTCATTCGCCTTCACAACATTCATTTGTGATAAAACTGGTGGCTATTGCGAACTTCGCATTTCTTCGAAAGCTCGTTATTTCTTCTCGAACAATAACATGGTGAGTCGAGCGATATTCTTAGTGCCACCAAAATTTTCATGCCCACAGTGAATTCAGCATTGTCGGTAAATGCAGGGGCTCAAATAATGAGCGTAATTTCGCAATTTTCCAGTTAATTAATATATTTCACTCATTTTCTTCAATTCCATCACCTAGACCCACCAGAATGAATGAAGCATGAATGACATTGACATTTAATTCAGCTCCCGGAGAAGATCATTTCACGTCACTTATTACCAACGAATCAAATGTATTTGTAAACTCCCAGTGAATGCAGTAGAGAAGTTGTAAAGAGGGGCATATCTACTTATTGTGAGAATGAAAGCTTCCAAAAATACACTTATTCATTAATTTAAAAGACCTAGCGTTTTCTCTGAGAAATTCTATTAAATGTCTATTGAAACTCCACAAGAAATTGATCGAATTCTATTAAACATTGTACTTGTTTTTTGCGCTGATTTCTGTTGAAAATTTTGAAACTTTGCATTGCGTTTTTCAAAAAAGATTTGATTTCAAACAATCAACAGATGTGGAATTTTCTATGTAACTTATTCACCTGAGATTTTTTGTTGCATTTTCTAATGAAAAAAAAGAGAAACTAGGGGAAGGTACGGTAAAATGGACACTTTTGACTTTTTTAAAAATATTCATAACTCAGAAACAGATTTATCAATTGAGCTCAGTCTCTGCTCATCACAAAGAGGAATCATTGTTTTTCAATTGAAAAATAAAATTATTCCATTTCATAAACAATTCAACACGTCATGAATATTTCAAAAAAAGTCCAAAGTGTCCGTTTTACCCTACCCCCCCCCCCTCAGTGGAAAAAGTTGGAAAATTAATGCCTGAGAATTTCAATCGAAAAAACCACAGGATAATTGATCCAAAAATGAAAATCCGGTCATTTCTTTCGATCAAAAGTCTATTTGAAAAAATTGCGCGATAAAGCTGCATAGTTTTCACTTGAAATCTATTAGAACGCCAATAGGATTCTTTCAAATTTCCAATGATCCGGGGTTTTCAATGAAATTTTGCGCAATGTCCCGCATGTCGAAATGAAAGAATTAAAATTCCTCGATTCACTGGCCTACATCCTCTCCCCAACATCTCACCAAATAATGCACAACTTTTTTTTCTCCATTCTTCATTCCCAAATAAACCCGTAAAATCTCGTGATATAAAGTGGGCGTCAAGACTGACATAAGACAGGTGTTGCAACGTTTTCCATCCGAACAACTCCCGTGTACTTGCCAAATACTGTAACAACGGTATCGCCAACATTCCAAATAATCTCCCCCTCCACAGAGAAAAAAAATCAGGTTTCCAGTAACAGTCTCTGGATTTCGCTACCACGGAGTATTGAGATAATTTCCTCCATTCGCACGTAACACCTTCACATCAGTTTTATTTTAATTATTTCCTCCCCCGGCGGCGAAGAAATTATCCTAGACATCTGCATTTCAGTGCCCTTGTGCTGTACGGAGAAAAAAGTTGGAGACAAATTGCCAAACAAGTCAAGTAGAGCGAACTGTGGAGCGAACTCGATTTTCAGTACGCTGTGCGAAAAAGTAACTTTTTAAAACGTCTCTTTCCACACATTGCGATAAAAAATATCGTTCGATACTCATGGGAAAAGTGGTTTTTGGCTCGTGGAATTATGTCACTCGCCTTCGGCTCGTGCTATGGACCTCCCACGAGCCAAAAAACACTTTTCCGCACTCGTATCGAAATTAGTATATTTAGTAACGAGTGCAAAAAAGTGTTTTTTGGCGAGTGGGAGGTTTATATCACGAGCCGAAGGCGAGTGATATAATCCCACGAACTAAAAAACATTTTTTCACGAGTTACGAACAATATTTTTCATCACAATGTGGCGGAAATTGGACTTTTAGGCACGCGGAGCGTGCCGAAAAGTTCACTTTTCGTCACAGCGTGATGAAAATACTATTTCACCCTACACTGTTAGAAAATTACTCTTGAAATTTCAAGTGAAAAAGCTTGATTTTTTTAACAACGACAAAGTTACATGAAATTTCTGTAGAATTCTTCATTGAAGAATTAGTTAATTTCTTGCATATTCAAGTAATGCTCGATTTTCAGGTCCATACGGTACTGAAAAACGTTGAAATTTTGAAAATTCAGGAAATAACTTCTCTGAATTCTCAATCTATTGAAAATTTAATTGTATATGATCTTCAATTCACACGATGAGTTCGGAAATTCAAGCTTTCATTGAAAAATCAGTGATTCTTTAACATGAAAAACCCAATTTTCTTGAATTTTCAAAATAAACGAGAAATTTAATGAACGTTTCCATTTGAAATTGAATTCAAGCTCACAACATTAAAAATTAAGATGACATTGGGTCTGAAATTTCACGAAATTTCTAACAGTGTATGTCGGGAAAAACTGTGAGACGAATAGTGATTTTTTGTCCAGTGGCCCCGGAAATTTTACTGCACATATTCCGTCATAGATTATTCCAGTGACCGTGAATAATCGCTCAATATTGCACATAATTTTTCTGTAACGGAAAATAATTTTTTACCGAACGCGTTCGGTCGAATTGCACTTCCATTCGTCCCCAAAACTATCAGATAGGTACAAGAAATAGTATATTTCGTAACGAGTGCAAAAAAGTGTTTTTTGGCGAATGGGAAGTTTATATCACGAGCCGAAGGCGAGTGATATAATCCCACGAGCTAAAAAACATTTTTTCACGAGTTACGAACAATATTTTTCATCACAATGTGGCGGAAATTGGACTTTTAGGCACGTGGAGCGTGCTGAAAAGTTCACTTTTCGTCACAGCGTGATGAAATAGTATTTTTCTCGCCTTCGGCTCGGACGCCAACGCCACACGAGTAAAAAAACCCCATCGCAGAAGCCCGGGACAAGATTATTCTGTAGTGATTTTCAAGTTTTCGAGTTTGGGAACTATGCAATACCAATTCCCAGACGAGAAATCGTGAGAAGCAGCACAAAAAAAAGCAATACCGACCGTTGTGGGAGGCTTCGCTCTACAGAAGAATAATTTTTGCATCCACAGATGCGTTTTTTTCTACCAAATCGTAAAATTTTTCAACGAATCGTAAAATATCCCCCCTAACCAGGTACGTCTTCACCGCATTACATTTCGCTCCACAATTACCTTTCGCAATTTAACCCAACTTTTATCTCCGCGTGGACACCAGAGACTGTTTTCTCCGCGACAAACTCGAAAAATCTGAAAATTCCTTCCAGACGCCGGTATCGCGCCGCCCAATGCCGAGTGCTAACGATTCATACGAGCCACCAGCTGCGATTCAGAACGCAATGATGACCAAAGACAAAAAGCCATTTACGTACACTCCAGGTATGGGTGGTAAGCTCGATTTATCACAGATCAGAAGCCCGCGGATGGCGCGCAGGGTGGCAAAGAACGCTAATGACGAGGGCATCGAGGGCCCGCCAAAGTCGCCCCTGGCAGCTGAACAGCCACGTCCAGTCTCCACTGGTGCCAATCTTTATGTTCAGCCGCAAGTGGCTGTTCCGGTTTTTCCCACGAATGCACCACCAGTGCCCCAAGTAACTCGTCCCGTTCAAGTCAATCGGACAATATCCAATGCTGGGGAGAGGAGCCAAGAGCCACCTAGACCGACAGTCAAGATTGAGTCGAGGCCGCCGTCGCAGCCCAGCACCCCAGATACTCCAACAAGTCCCACACAGGTGAACCTCAACAAGGCGCCTACACCCTGGATGCAGAAGAATGTCAGGGAGAAGCAGCAGGAGGAGCTCCCTGAATGGGCGAGGAGGAGTAATGGGAACGGCTCGGCTACTCACTCACCTCCACAGAGCCCCCCTGGAGTCGTTCCAATCGTCCCCCAGTCTCCAGCTCCTCAGCAGCAGAGAGTCGTGACACAGATGAGACCTGTGCAGTCGCAGCCTGGAGAACGAGTTATTCCTCTCTGTGTAATTATTCCTTTGGTTTGATATTCAATGTTTCTGATGTTGCGTTGGAATTTTTCTAGATTATTTCCTCCATCACCCTTTCCGCCAATAGAATCGCGGTTTTCGAGGTCTCGTGGACCAATCAGAAGAGAATTATGTCGATTTTTTTCCCCCATCACCCTTTCAACCAATAGAATTGCGGTATTGGAGGTCTCGTGGACCAATCAGAAGAGAATTATGTCGATTTTTTTCCCCCATCACCCTTTCAACCAATAGAATTGCGGTTTTCGACGTCACGTGGAACAATCAGAAGAGAATTATGTCGATTATTTCTCCCATTACCCTTTCAACCAATAGAATTGCGGTATTCGAGGTCTCGTGGACCAATCAGAAGAGAATTATGTCGATTTTTTTCCCATCACCCTTTCAACCAATAGAATTGCGGTTTTCGACGTCACGTGGGCCAATCAGAAGAGAATTATATCGACAATTTCCTCAGTTCTGATTTTGACCAATCAGAGTGCGGTTGTCAGTCTGATAATTTCCCTGTAGCCTGTCAATTGTTTTCTAAGAATTTGACAGATATTCCTCACATTTTGGTGAAATGTGTCTCGTAACCCCGACCACTGTACCCTGATCGGCTAAAATCAGAATGGAAGAAATTGTCCTCCGAATACCCCTCGACCTTCAAAATTCATCGGATATTTCCCTCCAGTTTTCCTGCATATCAACGATCGGGATCAACTTTGCAGTAAAATCCCGAGCGCTGCGCGAGAGTCCATTGTGTACAATCAAATGCTAGAAAACATTCGTAATTCCAGGTTGAAGACAGACCCTCTGTATTCTCGATTAAGAACGATCCCGGAGCCTCCGGGCATCATCAACTGAAACAGACACCCCCTCATCACCAATCGCGTTGGTACGCGCCTCAAAATTCCCAGAATCAACCCCCAGCGCCGCGACCTGTCTCCTCTCCCCCAGTGCAGCCCCAATCAGGCGGAACTTTTATTGTTCCAATGACGATTGAGGGAAGCGCCAGGAGTCCCCCTGTAAATTCACAGTATCAACAGCCGGCCTGGAATGAGTACAGTCAGCCAACACCGGGTCAAGCCCGGGGAAATTTCCAGCAGAGAGCTTCGGCTCCCATTTCCCCTCAAGCTGAGTCCGGACCAGTCCAGTCGCGATCTTTCCGTGTTCTTCAGAAGATCACAGACACGGACAATGACGAAGTGGATTCCGAGCAGATGCGCAAACTTCAATTGACTGAGGACGATAAATTACTGATGAACAAGTTCAAGGAGCAAGTCGATGGCGACACGTATCTCCATCAGGAGGAGGATCCGCGGTATCGGGGGGCTGCCATTCCCTCGAGGGCTTTCCGCTATCTCCAGAATATGACTGATGACGGGGTGAACACGAATGGTGAGCATTGATGAGCATCATTAAGCGGTTAATCGCTTTTCTCTTTTTTTTATTTCCTGAGGTTAATAAAATGAAATGTCATCTTAGCTGCACCTGCTCGCAATATGAACAGTGCCCTCAAGAAACAGAACAGGAACTCACGAACGTTCGGTGAATGAACTTTCATTTATGTGTGGATTTATTTGTAGATGAGTGACGCCAAAAATCAATGAGAATTATAACATTTACGAAGTTGTTTGGAAATTTTTGATAGGAATTCGAGGGAGGATATGTAATTTCCATTAGAATTCTAATAGAATTTTCTGTTTGGTTTCTTCATCCGTATAGGGGAGGCGCCGTAGCTCGACGTTTCCGTTTTTTTAAATTGTAAATTGTCTTCTCTTCGTTGAAAAAAAAACTTTTTCAATTGAAATGTCTAGAAAGTGATTGTAGTTTTAGAAAAATATAAATCCCGACATTTCTAAAGGGAACAAATTATTTCGAACAGATGAATTATTTTGTCCCATGTTACCTGAAATTAATCGTTGCGCGACGTTGCCGGAAACTCGCTAAACGCGCCCGGGAAGTGTAGAGTGAATTCGGCAACGCTGAAGCCTGAATAACACGGCAGCGAATTCCCTGCGGAGGTGACCAGACTAGGTTTAATCGAAAATTGAAAAAAATAATCGCATTAAAAAAAAGTCAAATGTGCTCTGACACATTTGCCCTACACCTTGGATGCAGAAAGATGTCACAGTGAAGCTAAATTTTGTAATTGATGTAAAAAATCAATGACAGAATTCATCATTACCAATTTATTTGCAATTCTTTTGTAATTAACGGATTTGAAGAGAAAAATACTGAAATTTCCAATAGAACTGGACAACAACAAATATAATTTCCATTAGAATTCTAATAGAATTTTCTATTCCATTTCCTCATACATGATCGATGGAACTCTTTATTTTTAGCAATTCATATTCCACATTTTTCCATTTTATTCAATTTTTGTTGCACGTCTAATCGCCTGATTGCATGACGCGAAATTAGCATTTTTCCTGTAAATATTGATTTTTGTAAATTATAAAGATTGGAATTTTTGTGTGTTGGTTGGTTCCCTACCGACTCTAACTGACTCCGTAAAATAAATTCAACAGAAGAGCCTCAATCAAATGTCCCAGCGAGTGAGCAACAGGTACCAGAACCGAAGAAATACACCGGCAGTGCAATACCATCAAGATCCTTCAGGATACTCCAGGCAATGACAACCCCCGAGTCCGTGGGTAAGTCCCTCCCCCTCTCATCACCCCTAACTCTGCACAAGCGTGTCGACATTTTCTAAAAGCACAGAGATTAAATAAACACGTAACACAACTTCATCACTTCGTTTTCACCGATTAACGCGATCTGGATTGCCTCACACATTTTTTCATGAATAATCAACATAATTAATATCGATAAACAAGATAAAACATCACTAGAAGCGCTCGCATCCTCTGTTCATAGGAAAACTCGTGTTATCACCCCTTTACGCGTGAGAAACTATAGAAAAATTATAATTTGATTCATCTGCGGAAGTCCATTGAATTTCTATTGAATTTGTATCAGAATTCTGTCGGAGTTCGATTATCCTATATAATTTATTCTGTTAAAATAATAAAAAGAATAAAAAATAATAAAAAAATTTCTACAGAAAAAAAAATCTCAAGAGAATAATTCACGTGAAAGAATGGAACCCATTGACTCCTAGGTATCAAATATCTGTTTAAAAATCGCAAATTGCATGGTTCTAATACCAATCAACACAAAAGAAATAATCTGTTTAACCCTTCGTTACTCGCGTGAAACTGGCGGACGTGGTTCCACGCATCGCGGCGCCGCGCCGTAATGTAAATCTGAGTGCGCCGTTGCCACAATTCATTCGGAGAGTGGACTCGCTGATCCTGCAGCTGCCGCGGCAGCTACAAGTGTGGCAATGCCGTGTGAAATATTTCCGTGACACGATAAGTCGCGGCACGGCGCCGTATTTTTGATTTTCAGTTAGCATAGCAATGAATTTTCTCTAATCAGGGACTGTGACCATTGTTAGAAATGGCAGAATATTATTTTAGATAAAATCAGTAAGGCATACCATTTTTTTCATATTTTTTAATGGATTTTTTGGAAGTTATATTAAAAAAATAGAATTTAGTAGCGAAGTGGTAACACGATTTAAGTCGACTCATTTCCCAGTTGAATTTTTGAGGAATATTTCTGAATCTAAGGGACATAGCGAAATTTTCGTAATTACATTTGTTGTAGCTCTCAATCGGGTCTACAAAAAAGGTTATATTAAAAATTATGCTATCTCCCTTAGATTCCGAGATATTCATTGAAAACTGGTCACTCGTCAAAATTGACTTGTACCGTTTTACTCCTTCGCTACTGAATTTCACCGGCGCGGTGCTGTGGACGCGAGTAACGAAGGCTTACCAAAATTCCAATAGAATACCTAAGAGAACTATTAACCCCCGGATTATTCTATCAACTTTCATCATGCCAGCAGACAAAAATGCACCGTCAAATATTTACGCATCAGCGTGCATGAATTTTTGATACTGGAACGAATTAACGAGTAAACCCCTTGAAACCGCATGACACCCACGTAATTAAAAACGTACTATGCATGTGAGATTTCCTCTGAACACAGGATCAACCGTTTGGCCCCCGCCCCTGACACAATTCTCTCTAGCATCCCCACGTCAAAACTCGTCGCCTAGCTGAATTTTTCGATCAGTCACCAGTAAAAATTGACCGAACAGTTTCCAAAAAAAAAAATCCACCAACAAATCATGAACACACGCCTCAAGTAAACGTGGCAGATGGCCGGTCAGATTTTCATTTCTGAATGCAAATGTGTTTGTTGTAGCGAATCAAGACAATCGTCAAGCAGAATTCACCTGTCAAACTGAGACTAGCATGATGCCGCAGGGCAAACATCAGGGTGTAATACCGCGTTATCCCCAGCCTATTACCTGGGCGCACTATCCCATTCCCCGTACAATTAATCCACCAAATAGTCATTATCATCGTAACAACAGCATCGAGGATGAAAATATTTCACCCACTTACGCTTGTGATTATGCGGACCAGAGTGCTTCTATTGCCGATAATATTCCATGCGCCTACTATCCTATCTATGACTACCGTTTGTGTTCACCAATGTACCATGACATTTCCCAATTACGACGATTGGATAGACATTACAATGATTGTTTAGAAGTATCGCAGTCGTTGGATAACTGGGTTAAGGTGGAAACAGCTGAAGTCAGCAAGACTGATGATGAGGAAACGAGTGATTGCGATTGGTGGGGTAAGATTAAAGAGACTTCGAAGACGCCTGAGGATGATCTGACGAGAGAAATCAGAGGCCTCGAGGCACAAACTATCGATGCCAATGCTGATCCTAAGGAAAACGATGACGATTCAGACCCTCCAGAGACTTCCTCAAGCGCCGAAAACTGCGCGCTTGATGATGTGACAAGCGATTCCGATTCGTCCGCTTCAAACAGCGAATCTGACTCGTACCTCGCGCATTCAACAGGATTCAATGCTCGAGGAATTCCCGACGCTGAGAAAAGTGCGGAGCTTGAACGTGTTAAGAGACCGAATTCGAAAGATCGCGAGAGTGAAGACGAGGAGGAGGGAGAGGAGGAAGAGCCGAGGCCAGAAGTAGCCGGAGAGAATGAAAATAGAGATGAAGAACCGAAAGATGATGAAATACACAAAAAGGATGGAGCTGATGAGATAAATCCGAAAGAAGACCTCGACGAGGCTAAGAATAACTCGAACCAGGATGACTCCCCTTTGACTGTGAACGTTCGTTTACCTCTGAGATTCAGAATCTCGGTGACCACCAACGAAGGGGAAGATAAAAATGTGAGTGGTGATGGAGACGGAACGAAATCAGCGCCTAAATTGGAGGGAAATACTGCAGTCATTGAGGCAAGCACAACAGTTGACTTTACTTTGAGACGAAAAAGTCCGCTGAGACCGAAATCGTGGTGTCCGGAGAAATGTATCGATGAGTTTTGGGCTAGCGAGACGATCCTGAAGAAGCGAAGTTTATCGCCGGTTATTTTCACCGCTCGGAGTGTGGACGAAGATGATGACGAAGGCGTGAGGAATTCACAGGACGATGGAGAACCTCGTGAGGAGATCCAATCAGTCCCGCAATTTGAGCTGACAGTGGACGAAGGCCTTAAAAACGAAGAAGAGGAGTTGGCAGACGAGGGCAATAAGAACAAGTATCTATTGACAGTCCAGAACTCACGCGACGAGACTGACGAAGAAGACAGTGGAGTGACATCAGACCTGAGTAGAATCATTTCAGAAGTTGATACAGACTCTGAGAGTACACCAGTGAGAAAGGCTTCCGCCTACAAACGGACTCAGACGCACTCGAGGCTGTTCAGACTCATCAGTGGGGACTCAGTCCTTGCTGAAGATGTCGAGGACATTCCGGAGGACAAATCTGAGGAGAAGCATCACTTGGATCTTCCGGGGAGGAAGTCCAGTGGTTTTAGTTACGATCACTCGAACGACTCCAGTGGACTGACGTCGCCAGACTTCTCTCCGATATTCGAGACTTCCTGGCGGAGATTTCAGGAGTCTGTGAGCAGTGGAGGAACGGACTCCGTCGGGAAAGACTCGTATTTCCGGACTTGGAAGGAAGCCAAGACTCAGAGTCCTCAGGATGTTGTTGCTTCGACTCGTAGAGTCGTTTTAAATATTCCCGCCTGGCCATACAAATCGAAAGTCCTCTGTCCAAGGGTCAGAAGCACCAAAAATGTCCCCGGACGCATTGCCAAACCCAACAAGTACGACCGCTGCTGATGACCAACAACCAATAATCGAAATAAAACTAAAATACTTTTTTTATGTTTTTTGTACTTTTACAAGCGATGGATCGTTTCTTCCAATGTTAATTGTCGAACGCTACTTCTCCATTCATCCTCCTTCTCCGTAACTTCGATTATCTGGGGGCCAGATGTGCAATTTGGTGTTGGGAATCCCGGGGGACACTCAATGGCGTGACCGCGGACCTGGCGTGACATTTTTTTTCGCCCATCGGTACATACCTTTTTTTATAACTATTTTTTTTTCTCTCTTTCAATTCAACAGAAATGTTTCGTTATATGATTCTCTATTTTGGGACTTTACTTTTTCATTTTTGTTTTGTTTGTGGAATCGATGATTACTATGATTGTGAGAGATGCATTCGGTGGTGCAGCGGGATGAGTAAATTGGATTTATTGGTGAAATGGGAAAAATCTTAATGGACATTTCTAATTTTTTTAGTTGCAGAGAAACAAATCAGTTTTTGGGGATGTTGTCGTGATTCTTAGGGTTTTTAACACTAATTAGAATTATTCTAGGGGAGAGTGGGGCAAAATGACACAGCTCAAAATGACTGACGCAATTCAAGCAAAAAAAAATTTTCTATTAACTTGTGTTTATCAATTTTTTCTATTATTGGGAGGACTGATGAGAATGATGATTTTTATTAGTCTTATCATTTAATGGATTATAATTCCACTGATTAGATTAGAGTGAATACACTTTTCTTTTTTCATTTGGTTGAAATTCAGCATCACAATTTTCATTCTTTCCCCTCTGGATCTCCCCCTGGGCCTCGCTCTGGACTTTAGATTTTACTGTTTCATTTTCTTTCCAATTAATCCACTGACAAAATCTTCTCTCCTCAAAACTTCTCAATAATTTTCCATTCAACGGAATGGAAAATTATTATTCTCATCAGTACTCCCAAGAATAAAAAAGTTAATAAACCAAAGTTAATAAGAAAGATATTTTAAAAAAATTTTTTTGCTTGAATTGCGTCAAACAATCGTTTTTAGACTATTTCGTTTTGCCGAACTCTCCCCTCAGTGTTAGGAATGGAATCACTGAAATTTAGAAACTGAATTCCTAAGATTAAGGATCATGTCACAGAAAATTAGTGACGAAATCACTTTATTTCAGAATGTTGGAGATCTCTCAAAACCAAAACTTTTCTTTCTGTGTGATTTTCTCCTTTCTTTTAGCGCCTTTGCTACGAAATTCTCTGCATTTCCGTTCGTATTCTATTAGAAATTGTATTCGTTAATTGTCATTTTCTACTGGAAATTCTTGATTCAATGGGAAAAAACTTGAGGAATTAATGATTTGAATTTTTTCTGTCAAACAACTATTAAAAATGTCACGAATTAAATTTCTAATAAAATTTCAATAGAATTAGAACAGAATCCCAATAGAATCACAATGGGATTTTCATACAGAAATATCAAAAACAAATCCTGAAGTTGAATTGACTCACCTTCTTTCACCATTTCGCGACCAATTTATCTTAAAACTTTGCAATTAACAAAATGAAATTGCAATTAGTGAGAATGCAAAGTAATCATTGAGACGACAATTATCTTTCACAGTACTCTACGATCTATCTCTACCTTGTTTTCATTGTTACGCCAAAGACTTACTCGTCGCTCTCCACGACGCTCTCTTCCTCCCGTCAAACCCACGAGGACACCACGTTATCGAATTCTCCCGAATTTCATACGTATACAGACCAAACATTTTGTAACTTTAATAGCTGCTCGTTTTCACATTATTAATTAGACGTAAATTATTAAAAAATACAGCAATCACATGTAAATGTGCTCGTACCGCATGGGAAAGGATAAACTCGGCGGTCTAACGCTATCCTAATTTCTTAATATACAATTATTTAATTTGAATTATTTATTTACTCCTCACTATTTTCATTCACGGTTTGCATGATCAGCAATCCCACTGCATGACGGTTGATATCGATTAATTGACTGATAAAGAGGTATCAGAATCCTTTAAAATCCAGTAATATATTTTTTTGGTTCATTAATGACAATCAGACACGCGGCACTATATTCTAAACAATAATTGAGCTGTTTCTATTACAACAATGACAGAACTCATTCTCATGAATTTCTCTGTTTCTTTTCAGGCCCAGACACAACCGATTATTGAAAACACGAGAGATAACTCCAGGATATTAAAATTTTTATTATCAACAAATTGTTTCATTTTTTCGCTTTGATGAAGTTAAATTAAAAAATAAATAAAACAATTGGAGAAAAGTGACTATCGGTGTGTATGCGTGTGTGTGGATATTTCTTTTTTTCTTATTCATTTGATTTTCTATTTTGTTACAAGATTAATCCAGCAAAGTCTCAACTCCCTGAGGAATACATTTTTAACTTATGTGTAGATAATTCAACGAATGTTACGTTTGAATATAATTATATCCCAGCAAACAACAGAGCAGAACAGAGAAACGTAAATAACTCAATGGAATTAACTCGTGGTTACTTGCAATCACATTGACACGATTAAACTTAATTAATAATATAAATAATTGCTGTTGTTTATCTCGATTTAAGACTATGTGTAAGCCACAGAATAAATTATTTATGAAGCGTATGGAGTGAATTCTTCATGGACTCTTTTCATTAATTCGATTGGTTTTAGTGACTCTTTAACCCACCTCACGTATGGCATCGATCATGTATATCAACCCGTATGGGTACGCGCATGAAAAAATCGTATAGAAATTTTCTATACGGATTGCGTATAGAAATTCTATAGGATTTCCGTATATGATATTCGGATATTTCTATACGAATTATTTCTGCACATACATTTTTACATAAATTTTTGGTTTCATACGGAAGATGTCTAAACGCTTCAGAGAAAAACGTAGAGAAATGTCGCAACTCCATACGAAATGTTTCGATACATATGGCAGTGGGTCTGCCTAAAATAATTTGTATAAAAAATATCCACATAGAAAATTCCTATACGATTTTTTCATACGTGATAATCTTGTCCCATCGGCCGGGGTCAATACATGGAGTCGACCCTTTCCATCAAGAGTGAAAAATCATTTTCTGGAATTTAAAGGGACATATTGATATTTGGAAAAGGTATTTGGAAAGTCAATGAAATTGTCTTAGCAGTGGACTTTTTGAGTTTTTTTTTCAATGCATTTTTATATGAGATATTCCACGCCAAATGAGTCGACCGCCAAATGACTGCGATTATTTATCGAAAAAATATGTAATATATAGGTGTACAGTCAAATTCACTTCATACTGTTTATAATCAAAGTCAATCAACGCTATTTTGGGGTGCCTTGACCAGATTTGCGGAATTTCGAAAAGAAAAGATTGAAAATACAATAGATCCAGGAGGATCCCCAACTTCTATGACGGCTCAAAATACTTATTTTGATTATAAGAACTACTGAAAAAAAAATTTAATGCAAATACAAAAATTAAATGCAAAATTCAACTTTTTCAACTTTTTTTCTCGAAAATTCGTTACTAAGAGCATCTAAAAATCAAAAAGAATTTTAACTAAAAATATTCTTATTGGCAGTAAAAAATGAAAAATTTTGACGCTTAATAAATTAAAATCGGATGGATAGATCCAAAGTTATTGAAAAAAAACGGAAAAACGAGAAAAAAAATCATATCTCCCAACTGAGCTGCCGAAAAAATCTGAAAAAATTTGATAGTTTTTCAACACCTCCAATCGTAGAAAAAATCGCCATCAATTTTCAAGAGGGTGAGGGTCAAGGGTTGACTCATTTGGCGTGGAATACCTCATATATATTTTTGTATGAACAAAAGTTGCAGATGGAAATATCATGTCGAACGGATTCAATCGTATTAAATCATCTCGTTTGTCCAGAAAATTTCCCCCACGAATCCTGAAATGTTTTCTGAAAATACTTTAACGATCTCCTATCGAATGACATAAGTTAATTTTCAATTTGTCGAATAATTTATTGTTATAAATAAATTTAGTGTGTTTGAAGATCTGGACAACCAATTGTCCGGGAACATTGAAATTGGTTTCAAAAATTCTCAGGGAGTTCATGTCAAAGTTCAATGCAGCCGATGTATTTTATTAAAATTTTTTTTGGTCCACTGTTTCCGAGATATCGCTGATTGAACAACGGAATTGACGCGCCGCAAGTCTCCCGACCGTTGAGACAAGCCGCATTATACAGACGCCGTACGTGAGGGGTTAACAGGATGAAACAATGACTTTTTGAGTCAGGAATTGGGCTGCAATTCTAGAGACTGATATATATTCGTTTGCGGTGCATAATGTAAGCTATGATGGCCCATAAACTGACCTCCCAGAGGCCTGCGATTGTTCTCCAGTAGTGGGTATTCATAGCACCGTATCTCCAATGGAACGGGAATATTTGGTAACACATTTGGTGACCTATATACATGATGAGGGCGTTCATGCCTAGAATGTGAAGAAAGAATTATTCAAATGAGGAAATCTACATTCAAATTCATTCGAAGAAAACGAGACAAATGCGATTTTTTTTACTGTTGATCTTCCTGAATTCGTCGAGTCTATTTTTCGGGGGGGGAGGGGGGGAGGGGGGGGTGAAATCATGAATGTGAATGTTAAAATATGAAGAAGTTCTTTAGAACACATAGCACATTCCCTATAGATTTTTTTTATTTCTATTGCAATTCTGTTAATCTTTAGTTATTGCGATCGAAAATTATGGAATCTGTTTTATGTCATTATCGACTTGTTCTTTGGCGATTTTGTCTATAAGAACTCTCCCTCTGCGAGAAACAAAAAAAAGCATAGGAATAAAATTCGAAAACTCATGCTGAGGATTCGCTACAGAGGAATAAAAATCTATTGACTTTTTCAATAAAATCAAACATTTGTCGGAAAACCAGCGAGAAATATAATTTAATTCCAACAGATTTGAGATAAAATACTCTAAGAATTTTTATGGAATTATTGCATTTAATTTTGTATTTCGTGTTTCGATCATTTATAATTTGTCTCTCAAGTTTCGCATTGAAAATTTTCAAATCAATTTACCTGGAATTCTAAATGGTCCACCATTCCACACACGAGCGACGTCAACCAGTAAATAACAGGCAGTTAAAAGTGCTAGAGCGAAGCTAGTTGTTAATAATACGAAGGAAACTGACCTAGATCAACACAACAAACAAATTAATTAATGAATTTGGATTTTCAAAGAGAAAAAAAATGTCCAATTGATGCCCTCGGGTAACTGAGTACCCACCACAAGTTCTTATTGACCGGAATGACGTTTCTGAAATGCAGAACAGAGCCGATTACCCCGTAAATGAGAGACAAAATCATCCATCGGACGATCCGACTCTTCCAGTTCTTATGGACCCTCAGAATTTTCCCAGCCTGGACTCCCAGGAACGTCTGGAAAATAGTCGTGAGGCAGCCGAGAATACCCTCGGGATCGAACGGCCCGGATCCGTAAACGCTATCGATCGTTGGGTGCTGATATATATGATCGATTCCTAGTATTAGTTTATCGATGTATCCAGCTGCTCCACCAGTGCAGTTAAAATACTCCCCATATCTGTGATTGCCACCTGGACCGAGATATCCTCTACACTCGGATAAAAAAAAACACAAATGGAAAATCTAATCGAATGATCTTTATGAATCCTCATTCAATCCCAATCTCAGCAGCGATGAATGAAAGATCGTCAAGTAGACTTTAGGATTAGTTGTTGATGAATATCTCGAAATAAGAGAGATGGTAGGAATTTTTTTTAAGCAGAATGAAAGCACTTATGACCAGGGATAGCCACATTTGTAATATTTTATTACGGTTTCTTTGGCAGCCCTTAATCAGATAACATCACTCGTAAAATTTTTTCAGCACTGTATCATCAACTCAAATATTCAAATTTTCAACTATTTTATCAATCAATAATTTGCGGTAGGAAGATTGACGATTACTTGCGCAATCGAAAATCCCCTTTCAGGAAATTTGAATTATTCACTTAGTAGTAAATTTACAGTTTCATGTTAACAAATTTTAAATATATCATTATTCGTAAATAATCAGATTATTAATATTATATTATTTGAAAAATTGAATCAACATATTTTAAACCTTCAGTAATGTAAGGGTCAAATCCTTGTAATATTACAAAAATTAAATATTGATGGGGATGCCTGCTTATGAAGAAGGTTTAATAGAAAAGTCTAGCGCTCTGTCTCAAATATTCTGTTGACTTGTTATTAAAATTTTCTAAACAATTCGATGTTTTTAGCGCCCATTTCGACTGAACATTATGCAAATTTTTTCAGGGAAAAAGTCTGTAGTTGTAACTTTTCCATGTGGATTATTATGTTGAGGTTTTTATTAGTGATGTCGAGAGACGAAAGAAACGGATTAGACGAGAGGAAGTCCGAGCCAAGACTCTTATTTTTTTTTACTTTATTTTACACGACTCTTGTATTTTCTATGTGGGACGAGAGGAGATAAGACGCGTGAAGACGAGAGACTGCGAGAGAATCTTCCGACTCTCGACGAGACGAGAAAATATCATTTCATCTCGTCTATTTCATAAGTTTTTGCGTCCAAATGGAAGCGTTGAAATCGTTCAGCTTTCAAATTTTCTCATTTTATTTAAAAAATGATGCACAATGGGCTGAAACGTAAAAATTTGAGTGATGCCGTAAGAGAAGACGAGAAGAAAGTAGGCGACTCTCTTGTGTTGTCTCAACGTGAGACGAAAGACCGCTCGTCTCGCCTTGACTGTTAAACTATTCACAAATTATTCTGTGGTAAACTCACGTGGGACATCCAGGAACCTTCAACCAGAACGTGATACCACAATGAGCAGCAACAATACTCAAAATAACAATCCACTGTGGCAGTAACGACAAGCAATCCTCCGTCTTTGCCAATATTCCATGCTAAAAAAATCATTAAATCATTCTCTATTCAACACATGTCTCAATTTGAGGAGACGAGAGGAAAAACGACTGCAATGCGCAGCCAAATTTCACCCGTCCTCCTCGTGAAGAATGCTAATGGTCAATGCTCTCTTCTGCCGAGTGTAATTCAATAATTCTTCGTGAAAATTGAAAAAACGCATATGAAATGAACAACATCGCAATGCTCAGGATTTTTCTTCATTTCACATATGGTTTTTCAATCTTTAAAAATAAATAATTAGTCTCCATTCGATAAAATCAGAGGGCGTAATTGGGATTTTGCACGAAATGTTTTTATTCCTTGATTCGAGGGGCTACTCACTCCCGAAGTCATCGAAATCACACGAAGGGTTATCAATGGAATCAAACGAATTCATTATTATTTGCCAGTTATTAATGCCAGTTTTGATTTTCATAATTTGACACAACGCGTTTACCCCACCTCTATTATTTATCAATTTTATTTTTCTGAAATCACCGATTTCGAATTAATGGAATCATTCGAAATCATGTAATCACCTCCCGTGACGCTCGAAATCACGGAAATAATTTTTTCCGAAATCCCTGGAATCACCCGAAATCGATTACATTACGAAAATATTGTGTCGCTCAATTATATGGAGTGAGTAGCCCCTCGCCTTGATTTTTAAATTAAATTGAAAATATCAAACGCATGTTGTCTTATTTATGGAAGCGTATTGGCTGTACAGTAGAGGCTTCGTATAAGATACCTTAGGGCCAGTAGGAGAGTGGAATTCCGGGACCTCCTATGATCCCTAAAAATAGGGATCAGCGGGCTTCAAATAAAATACCTCGCTCGTTGCGCCCGAATTCAATGCAATTTTCATTTTTACTGAATGAATATCGATAACTAATCAATTTATATGTGTTTAATGTTTTCAATTTGTATCGCCCGCGCTCCCTTTTCTCTCTAAACATAACCCCGCGTGATAGAATGGCAGCTGATGTCGGGGGATTTTTGATGGACTCGAGAATAATCACAGACGAAAAATTACGATTTTTCGATGGGAAAAGTGAAAAAAAATCGATGTATATTTCCATTACTTGAAAAAAATGACCCTTAAGGTCATTAGACCCTCATGATCACTGGGTTAGTCCCTCCCGTTTGACCCTTAACACCGTTTGATCCTCTTCCCGTTGAAAAATGGGGAAGAGGACCGGGGCCATAGGTATCTTATAAGAAGCCCACGGAACATAAACATTCGGGAGGCGATAAAAGTTCCGAGAGTGGGGGGAGGCCTCGAGCGCTCGGAGCGCGAGGTATCTTATAGAGAGGTATCTTATACGAAGCCTCTACTGTATTTTCTTTATTTTTGATGATTTTTCAATTTTTCATCCTACGCGGAGAGAAATATCCAATAAAAATTACGTATCCTTTCCGTAATTCCGGAGTGAACTGTGTCTGTAGGAAATTTCACGAAACTGTCACGGAATTTTTCCAGAGCGTTTCATAATTTTTATCTGAATCTCCTGTGAAAAATTACGATACCGTCACTTAAATTTTCCGAATCGATTCCGTAATCGGTGAGCGAACTGTGAATTCCGTAATTTTTACTGAACATTTCTCTCCGTGTACTTTCGTACATATTTCGCCGTTTTAATCATCAATAGTAAAACTCTATGCAGCCCCTAAATTTAAACATTTGCGAAACTCTACCTGACACTTTGGAGACTGCCTCCGACTCAAGAGGACATAAATAATCCCAACAACTAGATAAGCCACCCCGAACCTCTGGAGTACTCCAAAGACCCTGATCTTCTCCAACTGAGCATTCGTTCCAATGGTGTTCAAACACACTCCAATAAAGAACAGTAAAAAACCCCGTTTGATGATGTTCCCGCAAATTCTCCAGCGAGCAACTCCGCGGGACAATTGCGATGTCAGGGCGATGGGAATGCAGACGCCCATGATCCAGATGAAGCTGGGGAATACCAGGTCCCCCATGAAGAGACCGTCCCACGTCTTGTGCTCGAGGACTGCGTAATCTCCAGCTCCATTGTTCACAAAGATCATCATCAAGATGCTCATTCTGCAGACGGACGACATCAAAATAATAAAAAAGGTCCCGAAGAAATGGGTAAAATTAACCGATCGCAAAATTTCATCGTGCGGCAAAAGGAAAATGTAATGGAAAGTGGCTTTTGTTGTCAATTTTGAAAAGATCAGCAAAATTAGACCTTTCTGTGTGGAGAAGGGTTAAAATAATTCATATTCACTCGTTTAGGACCCTTATACCGCCAATGGCCCAGTTAATGCCACTCGAAGCTTTTCGTGTCGTCAATATTAAAGAAATAATTATATTTCTTTAATATTTCTAACATTCGTCGAAGCAACGCATGGAGTAGATAGTTAATATTTTTGTTGCATAGAATTAGTATTTTTTTAACCATTCGATTTTTATAAATAAATAATTTAAATTGTTTAAACCAGCGGAAACCTTATTTTGTTAGACATTAAATCGATTTCTGGTGAAATTCTGAATAGGAATAAATTTGTTACGATTTCTAACAAATGATTTTTATGGTGGACAATCGATTTTTTATGAATTATTTATAGGAAATACTCGTTATTAGCAAAAATTGAAATTTTTTAATTATTCCATCAATCTTTCTCCAAAAGTACATTTTCTAATTATTTTTTCTCACATTTTTAAAATGTTTTCTAACGATTCAACATCGAGATTAAAATGGTAAACCTGCAAAGTTTAAATAATAAAATCGTTGTAAAGTGTCCAAAAACTTAGGGTCAAATCGGGCTCAAATGGAAGCTCTGATGTTAGACTACAAAAGTAGGAAAGCATTTCACTGGAGAAAAAATAGCCAAAGTACTTGGATACGCGTTGATCGCGCAAAAGTTGCGAACGCCGTTGGTCGCGCCGTAAGCGCCGCACCGCACCAGTATAGATCGCGATAATGATAAATTTGAAAGATCTTGGAGAAATCTTAATAAAATCAAGAGTGATCTAGATCGTATAGTTAAAAAAATCAAATTTGTCAATTGAATTGCGTGAGAAATATTTGTAAATAATCATGAATATTCAGTATCATTCAAAATCAAGTCATATTCAACATCATTTGGCACAGAATTATTATTTTTGAACATTCATTTCTTATAAATAAATAATTGAAATCGTATAAACTTTCGGAAACCTTGTTTTTTTAGACATGAAATCGATTTCTGGCCAAATTCTGAATATGAATAAATTTGTTATGATTCCCAACAAATGACTTTTATGGTGGAAAATGAATTGTTTATGACTTATTTAAAGAAAATGCTCGCAATTGTCAAAAACTGCAATTTCTTAATGATTTCATCAATCTTTCCCCAAAAGTACACTTTCTAATTTTTTTTTTACATTTTTAAAATGTTTTCTAACGGTTCAATATCGAGATTAAAATTCAACTGCAACGTTTAAAAATAAAATCGTTGTAAAATGTTCGGAAACTTAGGGTCAAATCAGGCTCAAATGGAAGCTCTGATGTTAGACTACAAAAGTGGAAAAGTATTTCACCACAGAAAAAATAGCCAAAGTACTTGGGTATCCTCAAAGTTCCACAAATGATTCAGAATAAAAAAGCGATCTATTATTCATGCTCGATTTTTTGCTCGTTCCCAAATTAAAAACTGCGTCAGCAGTCAGAGTGATCTTTTCTACTATTCCTGTCTCCATGAATCCTATTGACATTGTTACAAAAGGAATTTCCACGACAAAAGGACTATTAATACCCTCTGAACGTATCGATGGATTGAACCCGCCGTTTGGCTGTCGGCCTCTCCTCAGTGGATTCCGCAGCACTCGAATTTCCTGGTTTCCTCCTCCTGAAGTGCCTCGTGAGAATTCTCCCGGAGGACAGGAGGAGGAGGGTGCACAGAAGCAGAGCGAAGATAACGAGAACAGCTGGAGGAAAAACTCAATTAAAAAATAATTAAATTACTCTCGTGTCCTTGATGGCAACTCACGTGTATACGGGTTTGTCGGCTGTCTGATTGTATCAATCTCACAGCCAGAATCCTCCACCGTGACTTTGTACAGCCCATACTGCCCCAGTCGTGGTTTCAGTTCACAAATTAGGTCTCTGATGAATTATATTTTCATCAAATTGGGCAATGCAACAGAATAGAAAAATTCAATTCAAATCGTGTTGAATATTCAATTATTTCGATAATTAATGGTTTCAAAAAAAAGTAAAACATTTTTTTTTTACGAAAATTCATTGAGCTATAAAAATGTCCTTTGATTGTTTCCTAAGGTGAGTGAATAATTAACGAAAATGATTAATAAAAAATGCAAATGATTATAAAATCACGTTTGGCGAAAATGAGAAAATGAATTTCCTGCAACAATTTTCATCAACGATAATGCTAATGTATTTCATGATAAAATCGCTCATCGGGAAAATCAAATTATCTCGATACTAAGGAATGTTCAGCGAAAGTGATAAGATATTTTTCCATTGTGATTCCAGCTATGCAGATCCTCCGATATCTCCTGCAATTCCTCGGTCACGAAATATATGTACAAATAACAAAATGTTGAATTCCAACTCTAACGGTTCAATTCTCCCCCGTGAAATCGATCATAAAAATTTCTCGATTATGAAAGATTTCAGTGGAAAAATTCAATACTTTTTTTTTTATTAATCCAGCTTCTCAAAAGGTCCTTTAACCTTTTTTCAACATATCATTTGATTCCGAGACGTACATACAGCTAAAAAAAAAATAAGATTCGCCTTATCGGAATCGCCTATTTCCCTAAAAAATTCAATTTAAAAATTTCTCGTTGACTAATGAATTATTTTAATAATAAATATTGAAAAATCATGGAAAAACATGTCTCGTTGTAAATGAAACCAACTAGAAGAAACGTTTGATTCCGCTTCCAACAGCATGAATTTTCAAAATAAACAAAAAATCGAAAAATTCTAAAAATTAAAAAAAATAGAAAAAAAATTAAAATTCAAAAAAATTTAAAAATAGAAAAAATTACAACCTAGTATCATTAGGAAACTTATAATCCCCCAGATCATCCCCATAGAAAATCCTCCAAGTATGTATTTTCGCACTGTTGAATACAAAACTCGCACTCCGCTGACTGTCAACTCTACAAATTTTCGAGAAGGGACACTGCAATCAGAAATTATCAAAAGTAGAGCAGATAATCTTCCGATAACTCGCAATTAAAACACCACAATCCCAGTAAACAATCGATGACCCGCACTCACCGAAATGCAGTCACTGATAACCGAATAAATCCACAGATGAAAATTACTCTTCCCATTTTCGAAAACAGCGCAGGCTTGATCGAGACTGAGCGCCTCGTAATTGCACTCGTTCACCTCCATCGTCGAACTATTGCCAATATCAAAATGTTTGAATATTAAAACCTACGGATGAAGTAGACTCGTATGGACTCTGGCATCTGTTTAGTTCCCCTCGTTTTTGACACACTTCCACCACGAGCAGACGAGTCAGTAGAAAGTAATAGTCCGATACTCCACAGGTTTGCCGGTCGTCGAGTTGTCTTCCCCCTCGATTTTACAACAACCAATACGATGTAGCCATCCAGTCACGCAAAAATACGAGTGGGAAAGTACGAGGAATTACATAGAATCAAATAAGCAGTGGTGGAGCCGTTAATGCCTCCGTCGCTCACAACTTTAACGATAGTCTCTGACTCTAAAACCCAATATTTCCTTTTTCTCCCTCATCACGTGATTAGATTAAGTTTAAATCGCTATTTATCATTCGAATATTATCGAGTATTGCCTGCATCAGCTCAAATATACAGAGAAGTATTGCAGTTGAGACGAATTAACGAGCTTTCGCTCATTTTCCTCGACATCCCTTCAGTGAACATTGATGAAGAATAACGAATTTGTGAACATAAAGGCGATTAATATATTCAGTAGGTTCGTACCACGAATTTAAAACGGAAGAACATTATCTTTAGCCCCAGAACCTTTTTCAAATTTAAATAACAGCGCTTTTGTTTTCTGTAGAGAAACTACAGATGCATTCTTAGATGCACTTTTTAGAATCATTTCAGATCTGATTTCTTCCCGAATTTTTCAACTTCACCACAAGACTTTTAGCGTTTCCGATTCTTCAATATTAACACTTCGTTGGTCGCGCCGTAAGCGCCGCGCCGCACCGGTATAAATTGACAATGATAAATTTGAAAGATCTAGGAAAAATCTGAAAAAATCAAGTGATCTAAATCGTATACACTGTTGGAAATTTTTTGAAATTTCATGGAAAATATTACAGTAAATCTCAGGAGAGTGACATTGAATCGGATGAAATTTCAAGTTTTAAGTAGAATTCACGGAAATTCATGAGTTTTCAGTGGAAGTGAGATAGCAATTTCACAATTTGATTGAACTTTCAGTGAAACATGAATATCCAGAAACAAAATGACATGAATTTTCAATTTTTCCCTGAATTTTGCAGATTTTTTTGAATCTGCACAGAACAATTGAACTGAAAAATCAAGTATTTCATTGATTTCCAGATCATTTGAACGGAAAATCAATGGAATATTTGATTTTTCAATGCCAATATTTCCTGAAATTCGTTGGAACTTGAACACGATAAAAATTTCCGGAACTTGGCACGGAAAATTCAGACGAAAATTTTTAACAGTGTACTTGAAGGAGTCGTGTGAGATGTTTCATGTTCAGTATTACTCTTAATTATATATTGAAGTTTAAAGTTGCTATGTTTTTCTGAACATTCGCCTTATACACGGCACGGGGCCCGGAATTTTGGAATAAAACTTTGAAAATCCAACTACTTATGGTATTTTTTGCAGATATTTTCATTGATAGGGCTTGTAGATACATCAAAATGAGATGTCAAATTTTTTCAAATTTTTCTGAGGCTTTACTGCAGTGTAATTTGAAAAATCGGAAAAAGTGCGGCGCGGCGCTCATAGCGCGACCAACGGACTGTTAAAAGAATTTCCGAGTTACTCTATTTCCGAGAAATTTCCATGGAGACTTTTTTTGAAAAGTAAAGTTAAAGCTAAAAAATGTGCCCCTAAGACTTTTAACTCTAAATTCGCAGATTTCCTTCTTTCGTCTCATCATGAGATGAGATTAAGTTGAATTCAGAATCCATCACTCGAGTGTTTTCTACATCAGCTCGAACATTCGGTGAAAAATTGCAGTTGAAACGAATTAACTAGTTCTCTTACCATTTCCTCCAACATCCCTTGAGTGAAAAATCTAAAGTATGAAGCATTCGTGAAGATGAGGACAATGAATCTCTCCATTAGGTTTGTGCCATCAATTTGAAATGAAAAAACATTACCTCTATCCCAAAAAAGTTTTTCAAACTTAAATAGCAGTGTATTTGTTGTTGTATTCCATATAAATTTGTGTATCTCTGTATATATATAGATATATATTTTCATTTTTATTTTTTTACATATTTTGCGTTGCTTTCCTCAATTAATTTACCGCACTTGTTTCTTCGTAATGGATAAAATAACAAAGAACTAATTTAAAATAAAATTGTAAGGATAATACAGATTTTTTTCTCCAGTTTTCTCTTTCATTTTTCGATTATAGATATTGCCAAGGTTAATTCGCTGCGAGTGGAATTGGTTTGACGCCAGTCTCCAATTGTTAGTGTCCAGACCTTTTTGTAGATTTAAACCCATGATTTTTGAATCATTCGCCATGGGAGATAATGATTTTAATTACTAAGGAGTGTCTTGATCTCTTTGTGCATGTGACAGAGAAAATCGACGTAGCTCTGGCTATTGTCGTTTCCTCGATCTTCCACCAAGAAGTGACGCATAACCATCTCTAATTTATCCCTGTGGCGTACAATTGTCAACTGGAAAATAAAATGAACAGTTGCGAATCAATGAGGAAATTGAGGAGAAGGTCGTCCGGTAAATTCATCCCAAGAATTCGTAATTATGTGTGTCATCAAAAGTGAAAGTTGTGAAAATGGCACTTACCCTCATGCAATGATGTCTTTCGGCACGAACACGTGCAATTATTTCTCTTATACGTATGTTCAGTTGATTATCTAGGACAGGAAGTGAGATGCGCTCTGTGTCAACTACCGGTGCACCGAAAACTGCCTGAATCCACTCGGTGGACAGTGCATGACCCAGCCAGAGGAACATGTGAATACCATTCTCTGCAAAATTGAGAGGATAACCACAAAATTACAATTGGTACTTTCAATAATACATGATTCAGGGGAAAATATGAATGAGTAATGTTCTGGTCATTCGATAAATATCTCGAATTTGGGGGAATTTAGAGGAACTAGTGGCAATTAATTTAAATTATAGTCAAGTTGATAATTAATTTTTTTAACCGAAACAGATTTTATTAAATCATCAGTATCTTCTGATCTTCTGTGTCATTTTGAAGCTGAACTTCACTTTGTGAATCTCGAGTAATTGACCTTGAAAACAATTGAACGTTTGTTATTGAATATAACTCATCAGAATTGAAGTCTCGTATGAGTGAAATTGCTTTGTCTTCTCCTGCTCCATCCCCTTCATAAAAAATCGATTTCACGAGGAAGCAAGATTTTTTCTCTTTAGAAATTCCACAATGAAGAGAACAGGTTTCTCGACATTCCCAGTGACTCGTTCTGTAAAACTCGCTCATTCCCGAGGTATGTGCATAGTTCAGTACCAAAGTAGTAGAGCAAAATAAGTCAATTCTGATGAATCATTCTTGAATTCTTAAATATCTCTGAATCTAAGAGAGATATCGAAATTTACACAGAAGTTTTTTTTTTATAGAGGCAAAAAATCTATTTGTAATTATCTTGCTATCTTCCTCCAATTAATACCTCTCCAGAAATCTCGTTTGATCCTCTGCCAACTAACTTGCATTATAAAATGACAATCCAATCGAAATTATCAACTCCGAAATGCCTTTCACGATTTCCAAAAAATTCATCTCCTTGAATTCATAGACTCCCTCGATATTTCCGCAATCTCCCAAAAAACCCTAAATCCCCCTTCAAAAAAAAAAAACACCAACATACCCAGTAAATAAGCTCCATCCTCAGCAAACTTATCAAAGGAACACCTGAGCTGCTGTGGCAGTTCACTCGCCTGTGTATCGATATCATGCAGTGGCAACAACCTGGGATAGAAATAATTAACGGACGTATAAAGAGGCATGGTGGCAACGGCCATCATCACAAAAGTCCTGTCATCGATGGTCATGTCAGCGCCCCCAGAGATGGCATCGCTCTTCAGCAGACAATTGACATAAAGAGGAAGTAGTTTCATGCACTCAGGCAGAACAAGCTGACTGGCACTGAACGGTGAGGCGCAGTGTTTCCTGTACGCAGCCAAAATAGTAGCACACTTGCTTATCAAATTATCCTTGACAGCCTTGGGCGTGGATTCAATGAGCTTGAAAACACTTTGTTTAGCGAAGAAATTGACAACAGCATCGGGATCACAGGCTCTGTACAGCTCAGCCATCTGCGACGAGGTCTTAAGACTGAGATTAATAATTCTCAATCGACGTATACCCCCACAAGAGGTATAGAGAAGTGCCACTTGCACATAGACTCCCTCCTCATCAGACAATTTATCATCATGCTTGACCTCGACGGCAACAGCTTTATGACAATCAATACTAGCCAATTCCATATCCGTGGTATTTGACATGTACAAGTGTCCGTAGAAATCAGTGGGTCTCACCCCAGTGGACGTTCTGACCCTCATCACAGCGTCAAACGCTATTGGTCTACTAATATTGTTAATAATATCCATAACAAGACGATCACCATCGTTGTCAGCCTGGAAATACGTGTATTTATAAACCTCACCCCCAGTCAATCTGGACACCTGCCCAATGGTGGCAAGATCGACGTAGGAATTATTGAAGACGAAGAGATTGACACTGCAGCCAACTCCAACGCACTCCTGCCCCAGGTGATTGTAGACTGTGCTCTGAGGAGCCAGAACAGTCTTCTCTTTGTCCCCTCCAAGCAGCTTCCTGTCATCCCTGTTCTTCAGTTTGCCAGGGGCCTCAGCAATCGGCAGGGACGAGTGGAATACCATGAGTTTTCCTGGACACTCAGAGGCCCTCAATGCCTCCAAGCCAGCCTGAATTGCCGGTGCCAGTATCGTCTCGGTTTCACGTGTATCCGCAAACATTACGGGTATCTGTGCCAATAGCGCATCAATAACAGCTTCACTCTCCTCGGGATCCCCCAGGAATCCATCCAACAATGGCATAAATACATCCTGCACGTCTCCAACCACCATCATCTGGGGCTGGGTCAAATTAGGGCTGATATTGTAGAAATGTACAGTATTCGAGTAAGTGATGAATCCAACTTTCACGACAGACTTTTCCTGAAAACGGTCCTTGGGAAGGTGTTTTATGATGTTCTTGAGTTCTCCACAGAGGAGATTAACTAATCCTGATTTAACGTTATTGTAGGACACATCGATGACGAACACTATGGCTGGTGGCTTCGGAAAGGTTGTGTTTCTGCAGTACTCTTTTGTCGCTATGAACTCGTAGGTTCCCAGCATTAGCTCGGGTCTCTCGTAACGATCCATTCGCTGGCCAGTGTGATCGAGGTGCTGGAAGTATTCGGATGGCACTTCTGTTGTGGCTTTGCAGAAGGCACATTGGAATCTTCTTCCAGCGTCGATGAACTGCATGAAGGGGCCCATGTAGGCCTTGCATCTGATGCACCTGACAGGACCTATTTCACCTGGAAGAAAAAAGGTAAGGTTCAAATAATCTTATCTCATGATGAGGTATAATTCTAATATTTGGACAGCCGTGATCTGATGGGATAGTTAAGTGAAACAAGTTTGGAAAAACCTAGCGAATTTGAATTTCTATTGAACTGCTATTGAAATTCTATTAGTTTTTCGTCGGAAATGTTCAGTAGAAACTATTTTAGACGAAAAATAAGGAGAATTCTATGTTTCTATAAAACTTTTTCGATTGAGACATTTTGTGTTTTTTGTGTCGTTTTATTTATTTATTTATTTTCAATATTTCAATTTTATTTGCCGACGTTGAGTGCTGTTGGTTTGGAAAATTAGTTCAGGAGTGTTTGCTATATATACTTGTTAACATTTTTATATTTTATTAGTGAGAAAAACAGTTTGTTTTAGGCGAAACAAGGGATAGTAGTTTTTCGTTTCGGCTGTCTAATAATCACAGACAAGAAATAAACCCTTAAATGAACCAATAATAATGATATGATAGCAATCTTGTAACTTAGGGATAAAATAATTGTTGATAAATTTTCCTCTATATGAGATATCCTGTTTTAAAACTAACAAGATTAGAATCTAAACGACCAAAGACTACTGTAACTAAAGTAATATAACAAGCTAAGTAAAATGGATATGTAATCATCACCCAAATGATTGTAAATAACCCATTGTAGGTTAATACATAAATAAAAAAAAAAGAGATATCCTGACAAGGCACCGTCTGGTGTGAATTATCCGCCTCTTGAGCCAAATATTTCATTGCTGTCGAAAGCAGAACAATTATTCATGTTTGAGACTTTCAAAATCGAACCAAACACTCTTTTTTGGCAATTGTCAACTAGTGATTTTGTTGGCCCAAACAAGACTTGTTTGGCAACATGTTTGTTTTTCTCTCAGTGTAAAAGTAAAAAGTTCAACACACCCATGTCGACGATCGGTGGCTCCTGCTCGTCCTCGATCACCTGGGCCATGGGACTGACAATGAGTCCAAAAGGCACTCCAGTCTGTTTCATTATGTCGGTTGTCGTTGGCACCGTGTAGATGGTGGATCTGATGAACCTGGGGGATGCGTTGCCCTGGTCTTGAACGACGAATTTTGTCGTGACGAAGGGGGGTGCCAGGCCTTTCTGATTCGTGGTGAAGACACCTCCACGGGTTCGTTGGTCGTCCTGCATTACTTGGATGGGACTGGGCATGGATTCTGGATCGAGACGTTTTGCCTGCTGGGGCTGGACACCGGGCTGGTACCCCGGGGTGGGGCCTGCCATGTTGAGGCCTTGAGGGTGGAAGGGACTGCGTTGGCCACTGTAGGGGTCTGGGGGCTGGTAACCGGGCATTGCACCGGGCATTGCACCTGGGGGCTGACGCATTTGGGGCATTGGGGGCATCTGGGGCTGTTGCAGGCCACTGGGGGCCATTGGAGGCCCTGGCATCATCTGCCTCTGCAAGTTCTGGTGGTTTTGTTGGGCCTGAGGATGGTACGCGTTGTAGGGCTGTTGGGGAAGGCCTGGGCCTCCCAGGTTTTGAGGTGGGGGACCAGGAAGGGGTGGGTTTCCTGGGGGCCCTGGGGGTAATCGAGCTCCTGGGAAGGTCTGGGGGTGAGGAACACCGGACATCGGGGGATTCTGAGGGGGGAGTGGACCTGGGACCTGTTGACCCGGCATTTGTCGCTGTTGGGTTGGGGGGTAGCCCATTGGGGGTCCAGGGGGCTTTTGGATCATTTGGGTGGGGGGAGTCATCTGGGGAGACTCGGTTGGGTATCTGTTCATGTTGGGTGGGGCGTTTTGATTTGGCGGAAGACTCGGGGGGTGGGAGGGGGCTGCCGACGCGAGGTGCGGGTCTGAGGGACCTGAGGGCGAGTGATCTGTCGAGGAGAAACCGTTCATGTTGGAGGGTGGTGGGGCGGAATTCGGTGGGGGCTGCGGGGGGAAGGCCTGGGGACCAGAAAAATTTTGAGATTAGAGAAAATTCAGATAGTGAGGGGCGGGGGGAGGCGAGTCACTTGGGGATATTCCAGGAATGTCAGTTATGTGACATTCTATTTCAATGGGAATTTAAATTCAATTTAGGATCAAATCGTTCATGACCAATTCCAACAAAAAAGTGAGGTTTTTCGTGGCAAATGATTATTGATTTTTCGATGACCGCTTGAATTCTCAAACGCATAACAATTGAACATTAGATTCTACTGAATTCTCAATTAATTCTTCCAGTGCTCCGGAAATTAACTGATTTGTTTTTGTAACAACAGGGGTTGTTGAACATTTCAAAACTTTTCGCTCAACATTTTAGGATTAATTCTGTAAAAATTGGTTGTTGATCCCTCGGATATCCCAAATGAATTACTTACTAAAAATGTGAAAAAAAGATGAGGGAATCTCCCTAAAGTTATTTCTGAAATGAGAATTCTAGAACTCCCCAAAAATTCCGGACATTCTCAAAATTTAATTGTTGAAAAATTTGAATAACTTTCTAGAAAATTCAACGAAAATTCTGCTGCATTCAAAAATTTCTAGAGAATTTCTAAAAACTCAAATAGTTCAGTACTGATTTTAATAATTAACCAAGAGAATGGATTAATTCTCAGCTGTTACTCAACGATTTCACAGGTATCAGGGAAAATGAGGGAAAATAGACACAGACATTTTTAAAAACATTCATCAGACAGGACATCCATCAATTGAGTTCCATCTGAGTTCATGAAACCGTAAAAAAGTGAATTCTTCAAGAAGAAAACTTATTCCACTTCACCTCTAACTGAAAGCAGTTTCAACATTCAAAAAATAATCTAAAACGTCCATTTTGTCCCGCAACCCTTGGATACCTTTGCCACTGGAATATTCAGGAATTATTGAGTTTTAAATTTCCAATCACTGAATTCCCTCATCCGATCTCGCCACTTGTTCCCAAAGTCATCAATACTCACCGATGGAGGATTATTCAGCCCCATACTAGACATTTGATTAGTCAAATTATCCGGATTGGCCGATGGTGGTGGTCCATGCAGTGAGCTGGGTGGAGGTGCCTGCTGACTGTTGACTTGAGCATTGTAATTGTAGTACGGATTGGCTGCTGGTGGCATGTTCCCTGGTGGTGGTCCTGGCATGGCTTTCTGTGGTGGATGCTGCTGGGAGTTCACAGGAGGTTTCATCATATTCGAAGGGACATTGGCGTTCAGTCCCTCATAGGGAGAACTGCCTGGAGGCCCTCCATAGTGTGGGGCCTGGGGATGAGGCTGAGGCGGCTGCTGGTGCGCCTGATGCATGTACTGCTGATTCATTATTGTTGTGTTCTCACTAGAGACAACAACAACGACAAAAACACATTAAAACCCCGGAGGGAGAAATTCACGTGGAAAAAAAATCAGTGAATCTTGTCATCGTAACATATTGCTGGTGATTAGCGACAGGTTAAGAATTTGTTTGGAGTGGGAGACCCTGGGAGCAGCTGAACAATCCACCCGCAGTGGGCTGACCTCAATCAGCTCGAATTTTCAAACAAAATAATTAGAAAATGCGGAAATCAGTGAATTCTGACATTTAAAGGGATTAAATGCCACTGTATGAGTCCACTCCTCCGCTCCGAAGGGAAAAATGCAGTCAACCTAACCTGATACACTCACAATCGCTCCAGCAATGGAAAAATCGACCTTTAACGACTATTTAATTACCAACATATCGAACTCCGGGACAACAGTTGGATTAAAGACAGAGAATTATAAAAGACACTTCATGAACTTCACACACAAGTGTTTAGTAACCCTTATTCACTCTGCTCCGATTACTCCCATTCACCTGAAATCCCCAGAACCTTAATGATCTAGAAAACAACACAATTATCCTCACCTGATCGACTACTTTTTTTATTTAAATCATAACCGAAACCTTAAATATTGACAAATGTTTACACTAAAACGAGAGAATGTATCTCGCTGAGACAGCGATTACTACAGATGCCACGTAAGGTGACAGTGCGCATGCGCCCCACACACGTTACCACCGGACACGTCATGGAAAAAATTTTGGAGCACTTTGAAAATTCAAATTAGTCCGGGACATTGGCAATTTTCCGCTCTCATCGAAAAAGGAAAACCTAGATTATGTGCTCGAGGATTGAATAATTGGAACTGCAATTCCTCAATTTTAGGAAGTTGGAAAAAATCACTTGGATGTCGGTGCGCAGTCCAACAGTTATGCAGAACTCCAGGCGTTCTAATTGGTTGAAAAAGGGCGGCGACGTTCAAATAGTCGAGGACGACCGCAGAATAACGCGAAGAATTCAATTAAATTGATTGCAATCGAATTAATTAGTTTATGGGGATAAAAAATGGAAATTATCACTTTACGGTATCGGAAGATGGAGTTCCTGAATAGAAACAATGCAGAACTCCGGACGTTGTAATTGGCCGAAAAAGGGCGGCAAAGTTCAAACATTCGAGAGCGACTGGAGAATAAAACGAAGAATTCAGTTAAATTGATTACAATCGAATTAATTAGTTCACGGGAAAAAAAATCCAAATTGAATGACTGAAGTATCAACAATCGTCGCGAACCGCCTGGGATTCCCTATCTAACCGACTTCGCGCCAGTTATATCTGTCAGGGGCGAGCGCACGCGAATGCACCCAAGGTCCACTGAAAGGAAGGAGGCCACTGTGTGCAGTAGTATGGCAGCTTCCGTCCTGCACGGTGTTTTCAAAGCTCTCTCGTGCCTCCCATAAACCAAAGGGACCTCTGTCAAATTCGACAAGTGGCAATACGCGATAGCAAATCCAGTAACATTGCTCGTAATCCCTTTTTCAAGTGTTTTTTATTAATCCCGAGGGATAAAAATCTCTAGGTAACAATTATCCTGGGAATGTTGAGAGACTCGCTGTTCCTACGAGCATCCTGCCAAGAGGTGGGTAAGTCCTGTTCTTCATATCGTGTCATTGATCATCGGATAGTTGATGAAAGTCATTGGACAGTGACGGGAAAATTGCTCAAGGGCGGATTCCCACTGCTCTCGTACAATTTTACGATTAATTTTTTGGCCCATGTTCAAAATGACGGGCGTAAAAATAATGACCTCTTCGGTTTACCTGCGACATTGAGCGTAATTCAACTGCTTCTTGGGTTTGTTGAGTGGGAATTTCAGGTTTATGCACTGGTTTCCGTGCTTGGGAATGGCGGAGAGTGAGGGATATCGATCCTACTCACCACCCGAGACTGCCACGGGTTTCGAGGTCACCGGAACTCATCCACCACTACCCACCCTCACTCTCGATCTCGTTTTCCTCGTTCATGAACCATTTTCACCCTTCGGTTTCAATGGGATATTGGGGACGATTAGGCGTCGTGCATAACTCATCTTTGAGGCATCATTGTTTCACTTCGTGAGGGAACATTTTAGTAGTGAAACGTAAAACGGTTCAAGTAGATTTTCACTACCGATCGATTTTCAGTGAAAATCTCGAAATCTAAGCGAGATAGCAAGATTTTTGTTACCACCTTTTTTACAGCCCTCAATTAGCTCTACGAAAAAGGTCATTACGAAAATTTTGTTATCTCCCTTAGATTCGGAGATATTTCTCGAAAGCTCAGCTAAGGGGCACATCGGCTTGAACCGTTTTACCGCTTCGCTACTGATTTCATTCGGTCAATTTTTTTAAACACCACGCGGAAAAATTCTAGTGCTAATACGGGAAAGAGGCGCAAAGTGACGGCCACGGAAAAATTCCAGCGCTGGCACTGACAATGGGGAAAACGCGGAAAACGCGAATTTTTCCCGTATTTCTGGGAAAATTTCACAGTAATCCCCAAACATTTCGTCAGAAATCCCGAGAAATTTTACCTTAACACCACTAGAGTTTTTCACAGCTGGTGGATTGTGATTTTTTCCAGTGCTCGTGCTAGAATTTTTCTAGAAAATTTCTCTCCGTGGAATTCTTTCGGGATTTATTTTCAAATTGACTGTTCACTCGTTGGAGATGTCAGAAATAAAAATAAAATATAGGGCAATCTCAGAAAATGGGGACTACCTACTCTCTTTTTTATTTTTTACGAAAGATGTTTTAGTTCATCAATTTGAGAAAAATGAAATTTTATTTAATTGAAGGAATTAATTGATATTTTGTTTTAAAATTATAGAATAAAATCCCAGATATTCAATTATAGATCGTCACACGCACGCAGCACTACTTTTAGCACAAATTCGGACTGCAGGTGGTGGGGAATCTAGGGCGAAATGTATATTTTATTGAGGAAATTCGTGAGGGGGAGTTTGTGGGGTGGGGTGAGTTATTGAGATTAATTCGTGATACCTTCGGGGAGGGAATTTTCCACGGAATTGACGAGGAGACAAGGAAAAATGCTGGGATCAATATCCCACAGTTTGATTGATGCGATTTTATGGATAATTCATTGTTTTTCTTTCCCCGTGTTGTCTCTTGGCGATGAATGTTCTACAAGTGGTCCCCCTACACCTGGGCACACGAGTGTGTGCGTTGAAACGCTGCAAACAAATAAGACGCTCGACTAAAATTAAATTGAAAGACGTCTTTGCGCGCGTATTGGCTTGTAGATGTCAATAACTTTTATCTGGTATGATTTATTCAATTATTATTAGGTTTCACGAATCAATGATTGACAATTTTCGTTGATAATTGGATTGCGGTAATTGGCTTGACGTTTTTCATTAAAATTTCTGATGCGAGTTTTTCACTATTTCAAGGCATTTCCGAGTCGAGAGGAATAAATCTTGTGGCCGGTTTGGAATTCCACTATCTATCCACTAGTTTTTGGAGTAGAAATTTTTAATCAAATGTATGGAATCAAGAAGGGGTTTCTCTGAATTAATCCATGGTCTTTTTTCTGTTTGATAATTATATTGACACGAATAGGGAACTTGTATGAATTTTTTTCCATTTTCCAATCTCAAGATTGCGACCTGAATAATTCATTTTTCATTCACAATCGTTCGAAATATTGCTCATTAAATAATAATTAATCGTTAAAGTTGATGATTTCAAACGCTTTGAAATCGCTAATGACGTCACAGACGGTCGAGCGCTGGACCAATCACAGAATGGCTCGAGGCGACCTAACCCAATCTTGAGGTGCGCCTCGGCCAATGGAGGACGACAACTCCCCACTCTCTTGTTTTCCGACCAATGAAACGTTACCCGACCGTCTTCATGAAGTCGTGACCGAAAAATTGGCCTCGAAAACGACTGATTTTCAATTAATTATCATAAGACATCTAGGCAATATTTCTCCATAATTTTCGACGTTTAGCTATCCATGAAATGTTGGCAAAAATCAGATATTTTGTATTTTACTTGTTTTTCATAGCAGAAATTTTAATACGAAATGACAAAAACTCAATTTAGCGATTTTTTAAGGTTCTTTTGTTGTTTTGAAAGAAGATGAGATGTCATTCATCGAAGCAATTCATATCAAAGTAGCTCTTGAAATTCACAAGAATAAAACTTCATATTTTTTTGATAATTCGACATGATTATTCAATTCTTCATGAGAAATACTTCATTCCGCAGGTTGAAGGCCGTCGGGCGATCGCGAATCAATCGCGAATCCTTTGCGGCAAATTACCTTAAAAATAAAATAGAATCAAATAGGAGAGGGTGGGGTAAAATGGACACTTTAGACTTTTCTTAAATTGTTCATAACTCAGAAACAAATTTATCAATTGAGTTCAGTTTAGGCTCGTCACAAAGCGAAAGAATTGTTCTTTGTATTGAAAAAAAAATTATTCAATTTCATCAACATTTCAACCACTCATTAACATTTTTACAAAAGTCAAAAGTGTACGTTTTACCCCAACCTCCCCTAAAACTAAATTAAATTAGATATGTTATTGTGTTGGCAAAAATCTAAAAATTCTAAAATCAACTGTGATGCGACAGAATATTCCCCTTCCTTACGCAATTCGCTGTTCCTATCGTAATATATATATAATCCTCATCAGTAGGAAGTTGCACGCTTGACGTAAGGTACAGCGTGTCCTTGCAAGTTGCATTAACCGCAGTTACTGGTACACAACAATAAGCAGTTGGCCTTGAGTAGATTACTACATTCGCAACGATGTGATACTTGAACGAAAATCTCATTCATTAGAGTCGTATTTTGCAGGTCTCAATAACCCGTCAATTCTGTTGACTTTACGACGCGCTTATCTCTAATGCTCGACATCTCAGGTGTTTGTCAACTCTGTGGATGTTTTTCAAAAAATTTTAACGCCGAGGTGAAGAATGATAGCTGCAGGGGAATCGTTAACGTGAATTTCGTGAGATTTTATTAATGAAATTAACGTTTGTACTAGAGGATCGCTGTCCTGAGACTAAAAGCAATAGCCAAGTGAAAACTCTCACTGGGAAAACGAGAAGCAAAAATAATAAAGTTTACCACTCAAGAGGACTCAGTCCTTCAAATTTCAGCATGTGTTTAGCAACGGATCGTAAATTAGTCTCTTTTTAGAACTGATTTGCCAGTATGTCATAAATCTTTGTCGAGTAGTTTTTGTACAATAATAAAAGAGCTGTGCTCGAATACTCCAACACCCAATCTAATGGAATTTCCTTCACAATTCCTTGGAGTACAATATTCTTTAATATCGAACTGTCTTCATACGATTCTAATAGTGAGAAAATGGCTCTGCGAGAGTGCTCAGCAAATATTTGCATGCGATAAGAGATCAATTAGATGTAACGAGAGACGGAAAGGTAGGCTGGGAATCGATTTACCCCGATGTGTCGAGCTCAGCTTGTCCTATTCAAGGTACACTGAGAGAAAAACGGCGAAGTTCTCAAACAAGTCTTACTTGTGCCAAGAAAATAGTTTTTTGAAAATGATCAAAAAAGGATTTTTTAGTGCCAAACATGCAGAGCGTGCGCTGGAATGAAAAATTATTGTCGCAAGAATAGATTTAGTAGTTCAAAAAAATTGCATTCTCTGTACACGCAAGAAATGTCATTTCTAGCACTACTCCTTCGTTCTTCGATACTTCCATACGTATTTTGCTCCCGAAAAATCTTTGCTGTATGCGAAACAACGTATAGTAGTTTTTCGTTTGAGCCGTCTAATAACCACAGACAACGGATGAACCCTTAAATGAAACAATAATAATGACATGATAGCAATCTTGTAACTCAGGGATAAAATATTTGTTGATAAATTTTCCTCTATACGAGATATTTTCATCCTGAGAAGGCACCGTCTGGTGTGAATTATCCGCCTCTTGAGCCAAATATTTCGTTGCTGTCGAAAGCAGAACAATTATTCATGCTTGAGACTTTCAAATTCGAACCAAACAAATTCTTTTTTGGCAATTTTCAACTAGCGATTTTGTTGGCCCAAACAAGACTTGTTTAACAACGTTTGGTTTTGGCTTGTTTGGTTTTCTCTCAGTGTAGCTACCGCTGCATTGAGAAACCATTGAGCATCGTCCACCAGTCCCGTACCCATAGTCCCGGAAAAAATTGATAGGATTGTTCATCAAGAAAAAATTTTCAGTTCCCAGAATTCTGACAACTAAATGACTAACCGGAATTTATGATTGCCTCAGTCAGTTATCAGAAGATACCAACGCCAATTTGACTGTCCACAAGGTCATGACGAGCAATTCATTTCCTCACTATTCCTGCAGTTGTCTCAGACTTATACCCAAACTTTCGGCAATTTTCGTTTAATTCTGGTATATACTTTAGACACGTGATATTGATTTGCATCGGGGCTTGCGGAGACCTTCAATTGGCCTCCTTATTTCACAGGGTTCCACAAAGAACTCGTATGAGCATAAATATCCCTGTCTGTGTACCTGGTATTGTGGTGTACGTTCCACATTGTGTCACATGTCAGGGATGTGCTAATGTACTGGATTATATTGAGTCTTCCCGTCGAGGGATTC